GTGCCCACAGAGATCAGAAGAGGTTGTTGAATTCCCGTGGAACTGGAGTTAGGGACAGTTGTTAGCTGCCATGTGGGTGCAGAGAATGGAATCAGGTCCTCTGCAAGAGCAGTCTCTCCAGCCCCAAGAAATACATTTCTTAAGGCCCAGTACAGTGCCTCGTACACAGAAAATGCTCAACAAAGGTTTGTTCTTCTTTTCAAGAAGACAGCCAAAATTCTCTGAAATGCTAAACTTCAGCTATGAAAAATACCACCAAATTCCTTTTTGTCTGCTCAGGACATTCTTGGTACAGACAGGTGAGAACTGAGAGTTGGCCCACCTTCAAAATGAACTTCATAATTTTGATCTAGATCAAAAATTTGATCTAGGCATCTGGCATTGTACAAGATATTGTGGAAATGTGATGAGAGGTTAAACATAGCCCTTGAAATCCAGCCTCTAAGCATGTTTGAAGAGACAAGGAAAGTTAACAATAAAGTCTGAAAGTTAACAATAAAGGTCTGAGAAGTTAACAAAGGATTTATGTAATAACCGGAGGCAATGGAATTGCTGTCAGGGGCATATCAGGAGTATGATTTACTGCCTAATAAATCAGAGGACAGTTGATACTGGTCAGAAGATGAAGCCACTTTAGGCTGGGGTAGTTCAAATGAAGGAAATGGGGGCAAAAAGGAAGAGCGTCAGCCAGGTAGAGTAGGTGGGCCTTGGAAACAGCAGACAAGAACAAGGGCACTTTTGGTAAGTTGAGAATGTTGGCGAATGGAACTCCATATAGAGACCCCCAAATCAGTAAGACTTTCTCTCCTCTAGGAAATGGAGAGAAAGAAAGATTTTTCAGCACCATGGAGATATGCACTGAAAAGAATTCTCAGTCAGTAGTCTAGAGTCCGTGCTGTTTGTAGTTGTCGTGGAGTCACCTGTGTCTCTTATTCAGCATCTTTTTGTGCTAATGCTCAAGAAGAAAAACTCAGCTTGCAGGACTGGAGTGTTCTCTTTACACAAGCGGCTTCCTGTTTTCATCACCACCTGTGTTCAGCACTGAACTTTTGGAAGGGGCTGGAGTGAGGGGGCAGGTAGCTTCAGAAAGCAGCTCCCAGCCTCCGGACACAGATCAATGACTCAGTACAGAGGGTTTTGCAATAGACTTTCAGAACCAGACCAGCCTGCTTTTTCTCAGGAAACCTCAGGCTTGGCTCCTGCCCTGCTGTGTTGAAATTCCTCTCTGTTCTGAAAGCATACCTGTAGAATGTACTCTGGAACCAGCATTGGGGGAGTCAAAGAATTGCTTAGGAATTAAATGAGACTTCATGGATAGTCAGGTTCTACTTGTAACCAATCATATGGCTTTCCTTTGCCTAACCTCTCCAGGTAAAGTTTCCTCATCACAGAGGTGACAACTACTTTGTTTATGGTCATAAGTATTAAAGGAGACAAGTATTAAATGGCAGGTAGCAGCTATCGTGTGTGTGTGTGTGTGTGTGTGTGTGTGTGTTTCTACTGCAAAATGTATATTATAAAATGTATACTCTTCAAAGGCTATTATATATGTCTCTTGATACCCTTAAAAAAATCAAATAAGCAAACACAAGTTCTGATTTTCTTATAACACCTTTTTCCTCTGGCCCCACCCTGGTATCTGTCCTCCCCACAGGAAGTGTACTTGACTAATTTAGAAGATTTGGAAGGATTTGGAAGAAAACTGCACCCTCCAAAGTGGGCTGAACCAAAGAGCCATTCTCACTCACCAGATCCCTGTTCCTGCAGGAACAAACTGAGGACAATGACTGGGAGGAACTTAAGTGTCAAGCAAGGAACAAAGAGAAGCATTTCTGAATATCAATCGGGATTTCTGAGTATCAATTCACATTTTCTAAACACTGTTCTGAGACAGTGTATCTGTTTTTCTTTAACAGTCATGTTTACAGTGCTTGCTGTGTGTTAGGCAGAGTTGGCACTATCTTTTTTTTTTTTTTTGGTCTTTTTGAGACAGGGTCTCCCTGCCTTTGCCTCCTAAGTGCAGAGGTTAAGAGTGACACTGCCAGCTCAGGCTGAGTCGGCACTATTTTACACAGCAGCTAATGACCCTTACTAAGGACTTTGTGGGACAACTGTTACTATTTCAATTTATATTTGGGGAAGCTGAGCCACAAAGAGGCTATACATCTTGCTGAAAGCCACATAGACACTTTAGTCCAGGCACTGCAGTGAGGACAGAAAATTTTTGTCTGAAAGTTAATGGAGAAGAAGCCCATTTAAAATGCCCCTTCCTTTTGCCTTTTTCTTTTTAACATAACAGTTTATTTTTTATTT